CGCGGTGACGAATGTCACCGCGTCGCCGCGTCGGCGTCGACGTCGATCCCTCTCGCGCGTAATTCATCGCGAATGCGACGGACGTCGCGCGCTAACGCATCCGCGACGTCCGACCGGGACGGAAGGACGACGGCGGCGCGAAGGACGTCCCACGCCGCGTGCGCGGCGATGCCCGAGACCGCGATGAGCGGAAGCTGCGGAGAAGACGCGCGGTGAGTCGATCGTCGTCGTGAAGACGCGCGTCTTCAAACGGGACGCGGGCGACGGGACGCGGGCGACGGGACGCGGGCGACGGGACGCGGGCGAGACGCACCGCGACGACGACGCGTCGCGCGACGGAGCTCGCGTCGAGCGACGCGAGGGCGAGCGCCCACGCGCACGCGCACACCGCCGCGGACGTCCCTGCGATCGACGCGACGAGCGATACGTCAGCGCGTGCGACGCATCGACATCAACGCGCGTCGCGATCGCGCGCCGCGCTCGAACGCGTCCGCGATCGATCCCTCGCGCGTCACCGCGCGACGCACCGAACGTTCGCGCGCGCGTCATCGGACGCGCGCCGCGCCCGCGCGCTCGGCGCCGCGCGCGCGTCGTGCGATGACGCATCGATCGCGCACCGCACCCATTCATACACATTCATCGACGCGCGACGACGGGCGCGCGGACGCGCGACGACGCGCGACGACGCGCGGGAGCGCGCGCGTGGGCGCGCGTCGGTGCGCGCGGGTGACGCCGCGGCGCGCGCGCGCGTTGGTCGCGGAGACGACGCGAACGACGCGTCGTGGCATCGATCGCGCGCGACGCTCGACGACCGGTGGTGGCGACGACGGGGCGCGCGATGCCGACGTCCAGGCGCGAGGGACGGAGACGATGGATGTCGTGGACGACGACGTTCGCGATCGGGGTGTTGGCGATGACGACGGTGGGGACGCGCGGGACGCGCGCGGCGGGGACGCCCGCGGCGGTGGCGGCGGCGCTTCGAGGCGACCTCCAGTGGTTCACCGACGCCGAGCTCGCGCACGACGAGGCGACGTTGATGGTGATGTTGAATAGAGAGGATGGTGATCACGGCTTGAACGCGCTCGGGGCGGCGGTGACGGTGGATAACGAGGATTTGGCGAAGAGGATTTTGGCCCTGGGCGGAGACGCCGAGGCGGAGGATCACGACGGACACACCCCGCTGCATCGAGCGGTCGTCACGGGGAAACTTAACATGATACGTTTGCTCAAGGAACACGGAGTGGACGTGAAGCAAGTGGCCAGGGACGGATTCGCGCCGTTGCATCGCGCTTCGTGGGGTTCCTCGGAGGCGCGGGCGGAAATCGTGCGTTTTCTCGTTCGAGAGTGCGAGGAAGACGTCGATCGGCTCGACGTTCACGGACTCACCGCCGCGTTTCGAGCGGTGGATCATGGCAACGTTTTCATGCTCAAAGTGTTGATCGAGCTCGGGGCGGATGTGAACTTCTCGAACAAGCGTGGCGACTCCATGCTCGCCACGGCGGTTCGGAAACAAAACGTCGAAATTGTGCAGGCGCTCTTGGACGCCAACGCGGACGTCACCAAGGAGGATTCCAAGGGAAGAAACTTGAGAAAACTAGCGAAGCAGCTTCGATCGAAGAAAGTGCTAGACTTAATTTCACAGGCGTACGCGTCGGCGACGAGTTCGGGCGCCGAGTTGTAATACCATCACCACGAAACTGCTCGCTGACTTTCATCGCTCACTCCTCCGTCTCGTTCTCGTCGAGCTCGAAACCCTGCGTCTCTCTCGCGAGCTCGCTTAACAAGAACTCCGAGGTCTCGAGTATGCGATCGAGCGACTTTTCGCCCTCGGCGATCACCTTGTCGTACGACTTGACGCGCTCGCGGTCTCGAGCCACGCGCGCCTCCAACTCCTTCGCCCGTCGACGCAACGCCTCACCGTCCCGCGCGTTCGCCTCCATTCGCGTCATCACCGCCCGTCGTCTGCGCTGTAGCTCCGATAGATCTGTGAAGACACGCCATCAGTCCTCGTGCGCACGAACACCGCGCGGCATCGCGCGCCATCGCCGCCCCATCGCGCGCGCGACGCGCTCGATCGTCACGCACTCTTCCCCACCGCCTCCTGGGTCTGTCGCATCATCATCGTCTTCGCCGTCTCCCTCGACGTCGTTCCCATCGAGCGCGCCCGTCGTCGCCTCCGGACGTCGTCGTCCTCCTCGCGCGGTCGCGCGCGGGACGGTTCGCGTCCGTGGTTTACGTGACGCCACTAATGTACACACCACCCCGCGTCGCGCGCGGCGACACATTCATTCGCCATTCCCGCGCGTGGACGTCGTCGCCATGCTCGCCTCGCACGTCTCCGCGTTCGCCCGCGGCGATGCGATCATGACTCCACAACACTCGAAGCGGTCGTCGGGCGCGCGCGTCACGCGCGTCGTCGAGGCAAAGGAGTCGCGCATCGGCAAGAAGCCGGTGGCCGTGCCCAAGGGGGTGACGTACACCTTGAAGGATAACCATCTCGCCGTGAAGGTGCGTGCGGGCGGAGGATCGATCGCGACGGACGGCGCATCGAGCGCGTGAAATCTTTCGCGGCGTAACGTTGAGAGACAACGCGCGCGGGATCGTCGGAAGGGCGCGGAGAGGGAGGCGGACGCGCGCGAGGGCTTGAGGTTGTAGGGTTTTCCACGCGCCGGAGACGGATGGACGAGAGCGAGCGAGACGACTGACGATGTAACGCGCGCGCTTTATTCAAATCACAGGGTCCGAAGGGTGAGCTCAAGATGCAGTTTCCGCCCACGATGGTCTTCGAGGAGCAAGGAGATGCGATCAAGATTACTCGCTCGGATGACTCGCCGGAGGCGCGCAAGGGCCACGGGTTGTACCGCACCCTCGCCGACAACATGTTTGTCGGCGTTTCCACGGGCTTTGAGAAGAAGCTCAAGCTATTGGGTGTGGGTTACAAGGCTGCGATGCAGGGGAAGGACCTGAACCTGTCACTCGGCTACTCTCACCCGGTGATCATGAAGTTGCCGGAGGGCATCACGGTGACGTGCCCGTCCAACACTGAGGTGGTGGTGAGCGGCTACGACAAGGTTGAGGTTGGCAACTTTGCGGCGATTATTCGGGCTAAGCGTCCGCCGGAGCCGTACAAGGGTAAGGGTATCCGTTACGAGAACGAAGTGGTGATTCAAAAGGAGGGTAAGCGCGGGAAGTAAGCGCCGCGTTGATTTCTCTCTGGATTCTTTCTTGACAACGCTTCGTTCGTGCGAGAGCGCCGACGACGCGTCGACTCAGGACGAAAACTTAGCTACAGCTTGTGATATTAATCGTCGATTAAAGCGTCATCGCTCACATCGCGCGCCACACGAGGGGCGCCACGCGCCGCATACGAGGCGCATACGAGGTGGGTGAATGTCGCGACGCATTCACCACCCGTTTCAGCGAAATTCGAGCGACGGCATGAAATCGCTACAGACGATTTTGAAATTTAGTTTAAAATCGTCGTATTTAAGCACACGGTATGAAAAAAGATCTCCCCTACCCGAATCGAACGGGTGACCCACTGATACCTCCGTGTGTGTTCCACGATGTGACTCGTGTGCTATTCAGATCGCTTTTGATCTACAGTCAGTTGCTCTTCCAGCTGAGCTAAGGAGAGCGTGGTCGTGTCTTCGTCGGTGTATTTAACGAGCATACGGCCATATATAAGTGGTGCACGCGGATTTATGGCCCGACGAGCGCGCAAGAATTGGTATGTAACTTGTTACGGGTACTTTTCATCCGTGGCCCCCACGCTCGGGGACTCGAACCGTCGTCGCGCCGCACACCGCGCACGTCTCTGCATGAAAACGACATCATCCGCCGTCGTCACCATCGATCGATGTCGCCGAGCGCTCTACGCGTCCGCGCTGTCAGATTATCTCGCCACTGCCGGTCGCGCGTCGACGCCGATCGCGATCGTGGACGACGACGCCGCCGTCGGGGACGTTCTGAGGCGCGCGCGCGCGGCGAACGCGTCCCAGGTGGCGGTGACGACGCGCTCGGGGGAGACGCACGCGACGATCGAACATCGATGCGTGTCCATGCGAGACATTGCGCGTGCGTGGATCGATAACGCGACGCACGAGGTCGAGGATCGGTGGTTCTTCGAGGAGTACAGGGTACGCGTCGTCGTCTCGTCTCGCGCGCGTTTGATTCTGACTCGGCGCCGACGCAGGTGCGAGATATCCCGTCGACGATGTCGATGATCGAGATGGAGGAATCGAAGACATCGACGATGAATCTCTTGGACGTGTGCGCGCTGATGTCGCGATCGAGATCCGTCGTGGTTGTGTTGAAAAATGGAGTCATCTCAGAGGTCGTCACAAAGTTTGATGTCTGCCGGTTTCTCGCCGAGAAGATGGCCGTCCTGGGCGAGGTCGCGAACGTTCCAGCGGCGTCCATCTTCGAGAGTAAACGTATCGTCTCAGAGCTTTTCACCGTCACGGCTCAACGATGCGTCGAGCGCATGCTCGCAGCGGATGTCAGCGCCATCGCGCTCGCCGACGAACGCGTCGCGCCGACGGAATACATCGGATGCTTTTCCTTCAACGACTTCCGTCGAATCGACACTCCGCGGGATTTGTCCGCGATGCGCTCGATGTCCGTGATAGAATTCGTCTCTCGCAAGCGCGTGGACACCTTCGTCGACGGTGGCGGTTCCGCAATTCCGTTCGAAAGTGGCCGCTTCGATCAGCTCACGCATCACTACATCGAATTGGTGTACATCAAGAGCGACGCGACGCTCTCAGAGTTGCTCACCGAGTTCGCCGAGCGTGGCATTCATCACGTCTTCATTCTCGCGTGCTCGAAACCGGCGTGTTCGGAATCACCGGACGCGTACGGCGTCGTCACGCCGACCGACGTCGTCGCGCGCCTCGCCCCGAGATGATCGACTCGAGCGCGTTGTCAGAAGCATCACGCAGAATTACATCCACCGCAGTGACCGACGCTCATCGCACGCGATGCCTCCCGTCGAGCTCCCGGTGCTAGATTATGGCGACGTCGGGTCCGATTCCGACTCCGAGCGCGCTTCATCGGACTCTGAGACAGACAAATCGTTCACGTCCCGTTCCAACGCGCTCGCGGAGGATTCCGACCCAAAGCCGCGAGAGGAAACGATCGTCGATCCACTCGTCGCTTCGAGAAAGCTCGCGTTCGTCGAGCGATGTTTCATCGACGATAGCGTCAATACGTTCGTCGATGAGATTTCAATGCTTCGATCGTGCGCGGAGGCGGCGCTGAGCGAGCGAGAGTTCCGGGACGCCTGCGCCGAGCGCGCGCGCGGGACGACGAGCGGGACGCGGTGCGGATGGCCGATGTGTCGATCGAACGCCTCGAACGCGTCGCCGAACGCGTCAGCGAGCAAGGTATTCGACATAGATGGCACGGCGCGAACGGTGCGAGAGACGTCGTGGACGCGGTCATTTTGTTCCAAGGCGTGCGTGCACGCGGCGGAGGCGTTTGGCAGGCGGCTCGCTCAGGGACGGGCGCTGAGCGCCGAGGAGGGCGCGGCGAGGGCAGGTGTCGGGTATCTCGACGAGGCAAAGGTGATGAAATCGACGGTGAAGGAGCGCGAGGTCACGAGATCGACGAGGGAAACGTTTGAGGCGCCGAAGACGCGCTCAGAGGCGATGGCGAGCGCGGCGGCGGTGGACGGGTACGTCCCTCGAACGGCAAGGAAAGCGATCGAGGAAGAGAAGAATCGGGAGAAAAAGATCGCCAAGACACAGGCACAAAAAAATCTCTCCACGATCGATCGACCAACGTCGGTGACGTGGAACGAGACCGAGATTCAGGCCATCGAGCAGGAGGCTGCGGAGCGAAAGACGACCTCGGTGGACGAGCCCGCCGGGGTGTTTTATTTCGACACCTACGCCGAGGGGCAGAAAAAAGCCGGTGAAAAAGGGTTCGTCCCGAGCATTGGAGGGCGATTTAGCGAGGGACAGCTGCGCACAGAACCGAGAACGGCGGCGGACGAGGCTACCAAGGCGATGGAAAAATTGCTCCTGGAGGCGGATGCAAGCGTGGAAGACGCGCCTACGAGCGTCGCCGAGCCCGAGGACGTCGCCGAGGTCACGCGAAAGATGCTCGCGTCCGCGCTCACATCGAAACCGATTCCAGGATATGCCGATAGCGATGAGGACGAGGACGAGGATATCGGGATGAGCGGCACTTCCGATTCGGAGGGATCGGTGGACTTGTCATCTTCCGCGCCACAGATTTCACAGTTTGGCGTCACGTGGATGGCTGTCGACAATTTAGTCACGGACGCGACGTTCGCGCTCGTCGACGGCGACGGTGCCTTCGTGGATATCCTTCCACTTCGTAACAGATACACCGTTTCCGTCAGCGAGGCGTGGAACGAAAGCTTGGCCAAGGTGGTTCCGTCTCTGTGCTTGACGCTTGACATCAGCGGCGAAAAGCGAAGAATCGAACAAAATCTGACGACGCTCCTGCGAACGTTCGCGTTCGAAAGACCGGTTCCGGAGTTCAGTCGCGCGCGTTGGATGATGATGGCGCTATTATTCATCGAAATGTTGATCGACGCAGACCTTTTGAGCAAAGAGATGCTCGGCAAAGCAGTTGCTGAGGGAGCAAAAATGATCTTTGCAGACGCTGAGGCAACAAAAGAGGAAGTGACTTTGCTTCGTCAGCGTCTTCGTGGCGAGGGCGTTCGAGATTAGTAGGAGTAGTGATAGTATGTTAATGAATCGTTTCGTCGTCGACTAGATCTATACCGCGTTTGAGGCGTCACGAAGGGGCTCGCGAGGCGACTCTGTCGCCTTCTCACTTGTCGCAGAGCTCTCCTCGGGTGAGAACATCGGTGGCGGCGTTCCAAGCGGGGACGCTCCGATGGGTGATGCGGATAAACCTGAATCCAAGCGTTCGAGCCTCAATGTCGCCATTGATGCCGTCGCAACGGCAACAGGCGATGGAGAGGGAAGTTCGGTGGGCGGCGGCGTAGGCGTCGCCGACAGCGCCTCCGTCTTCGTGTCTTCGGCGAAGCACTCTGCAATGATCGCCTCGACGTCAGCTTTCCCATCCGTGTGGTACAAAATACGCTCGATAACTATTTTGAGCGCATTACTTTCAAACTCGGGACGTTGGCACACGAACTCTACGTCCTGAAGCTTCTCAAAGTAAAACTCTCTCTCTTGTTCGGCGCGTTCGACTTGCAACTTCAGTGCCGCGTTGGCCTCGGTGAGCTCGCGCGTTCTCGCCGACGAGCTCGCGTTCGCGCCGTCAACTGCACGAGAGTGATGACGAACGTGCTCCACTCCTCGCTCGCTCGTCGTACTTGCCGTCGTCGTCTCGCGCGCGTGGTGATCTCGTCTCACCGCCGGTCGTCGCTCCCGCGGCGCCGCCGTCGCCTGCGGCCGTCTCGCGAACGAAGCCCCACCTCTCGCCCCCGCTCGGCGTTCCTCCGCGTCGTACGATCCACACTCCTCCCTGCACCCACCACCCGTGGCGGTGTCGTAGTAACACTTCATCCACTGTAAAAACTCCAGGTTATCCAGCGGTCTCGCCTTGACCAACTTTTGCACCTCGATATTCTTCGCGATGTTCAACTTTTCAAACACCGCCTGTAAAATCTTATAGTTCGCCACGAACTCATGCTCAGACCTCGCCTCAAAGTTCACCCGCCGCATCGGCACCACGTTCGACGTCCGGTGCGCCGCATCGAGGATCTGGCAGTAGATGGCGCCGCTCGCGCACTGCTCCACCTTGCTGATGTTCACATCCAGCAGCGCATTCACCCACGCCACGAGTTCGCTCCGTCCAACGAAGAACGCCGGGGCCATCATGCCCGTCGTGGACGCCATATCGCTCGACGCGAACGCGCTCGCGCGCGCTCGAGCGCTCGACCGCGCGGCGCCGAGGGACGACGAATGCGTCGACGGCGCCATTCGACGGTTCGTTTCGTTCCCCTTTTATACCCGCACGCACTCGGACACACGGCTCGTATACAATATAGTATACACCGATATACACAAAAACGCGTCCATTCGACGGTTCATCTCGGGCCGCGGTGTATATATGCACACATTCGGACAAACGGCTCGTATACACACATATATAGACGTGTCTGCACGAAGAAATACCCGCGGACGCGCCCCACGGCGCGCCGCCGCCCCATGGCGCGCCCGCGCGCGCTCGGCGGCGCCGCCGCGCCGCGAGCGATGGTGACGAAGACCCCCGATCGCGTCGGTGGACGCGCGATGACCGCGACGCGCGCGATCGGGCGTGGTGAGCTCGCGTTCGTCGATGTGGATTTTCTCGATTTCGTCCCAACGCGCGGACGCGGGTCCACGGCGCGCGCGTGCGCGCGTTGCGGACGCGACGACGACGAACGATCGATCGTGGAGACGTTGCGGGCGATCTCGCGCGAGGGGCGATGCGGGGGGGATGTAGGGGGTGATTGGGTGACGTGCGCGCGATGCGGGCGCGGCGACCGGGACGGCGACCGGTTCGGGACGCGTCGCGTGGTGACGGGAGACGCGAATGCGCGAGAGGACGAGCGAGCGATCGAAGAATTGGCGAAACGGATGATGCTGCGAGATCTCGCGCGAGGGAAAGGGGTGTTGGGAGGTGCGGGAGGCGAGGCGCGCGGCGACGTCGAGGCGCTTTGGAGACGCGTCGAGGCGTTCGGGACAAAGCACCACGACGCGCGGTTGCTCGACGACGGGTTCAGAGGACGAGCGAGTGAGAACGCGAAGGATGTACGCGAACGGTTCGAGCGCGAGTTCGGTGCGAAGTTGACGGATGCATGTGACGTGAGCGAGGACGCGTTTTTGGAGGCGCTGTCGAAAGTGGCGCTCAACGCGCTCGAGGTGAAGATCCCGAGCCGCCTCACGCGATTCTTCGCCGAGATGGACGACGACGAACGGTACGCATCGCCGAGCGCGAGAAGAGAGATTGTGGATATCCTTCGCGAGATCGTGCGCGTGCGAGGTAAGGAGGTCGACGGGAGCGACGAAGACGGGAGCGCCGACTCGGATGACGATTCACAGGAGGACGACGATTCGTCATCAGATGATGATTCAGAGGAGGAGGAGGAGGAGGAAGAGGATGATTCAGAAGAAGGTGACGAAGTTATGGAGTTCTCCATCGACGGCGTGTCGTTTACGAGCGAACTCTTTCCGCCCACGGAGGGCGTCGTTCTACTCGGCTCGGCGTCGAACATCAACCACTCGTGCGAGCCGTCGTGCGAGGTCGCCTTCATCCACGACGCCCGCGCGCACGTCATCGCCACGCGTGACATCACAAAGGGCGAAGAGATCACGATTTCCTACGTCCCCGGTTCCTGGCCGCTACGTCGTCGAAGAAAAGAGCTCCTCGACCGGTACGGCTTTGCGTGCGACTGCGCCCTGTGCGAGCGTCAGCTCGCCCTCGCATCCCGCCGTCGCGTTCGCCAGAGAACGACTTCGCGTTGCGACACATAATTGTCACATCAGTAGCATTTTCGCGTGCACCCTCCGCGCGCCGACTCGCGTCGACTCTTTCTCTCGCTCGACGCCGTCCCGCACTCCACGCCTCTCCAAAGGATGCGGCGCGTCTTCCTCCTCTTCCTTCTTCACCTCCTCGCCACCCTCGTCACGGCCGATCGCGTCCATCTTCCTCACGATTATCGAGACGAACGCCTGGACGACGACGACGACGCTTTGCAACGAGAGGAATCCATCGATTATTTCTCATCCAGAAGATTCCACGGCGTCGACGCCGCCGACGGCGGCTCGAGCGGGTGGATTGAAAAAATCAGCGATTCGCCTCGAGCGTACGTCTTTCGCGAGTTTCTCACCGACGCGGAGTGCGATCGGGTGATCGAACGGGCGTATCCCACGATGGAGGCGTCGGAGGTGACGGATGACGACTCGGGCGAGGCGCGCCCGGACGACGCGCGGAGCTCCATCGGCGGATGGGTCTCGGGCGATGACGATGAGGTGATACGGAACATAGAACTGAGAGCGTCGACGTGGGCGATGTTACCGATGAATCGTGGAGAGACGATGCAAGTGTTGAGGTACGAGAAGGGACAGAAATACGACGCGCACGACGATTTCTTCCACGACGAGCACAACGTGAAGAATGGCGGACAGCGTGTGGCGACGATTTTGATGTACCTCAGCGACGTCGAAGAGGGTGGAGAGACGGTTTTTCCGTTGGGGACGCCTCTGGGAGGGAGAGATCCGGAGAAGAGCGGGGTGACGGGGGATAACGCGTGCGAGCTCGCGAGTCAAAACGACCCGCGGGTGTTGGCGGTGAAACCGCGGCGCGGGGACGCGCTTCTCTTCTTCAACGCGCATTTGAGCGGTGAAATGGATGAAAAGGCGAATCACGCCGGTTGTCCGGTCAATCGTGGGACGAAGTGGACGATGACGCGCTGGCATCGAGTTGGAGCGATCGGTGTCGGAACGTTCGCGTCGGATCCGAAAGCAACCAGCGACTCTGAACAGCCACATGCGCCCGCGGGAGAGCCTTAGAACGCGTTTAGACAATCACACAATGCTATCGTTACTACAATTCTTCTAGATGTGTCGATCAATCAGTTCACGAGTCCTCGATATCATCGCAGCGGCTTCTCAAACTCGGAGAGCATCTTGAAGCCTTTCTGAGCTTCAGCGATGGCCATCTCTTCCATCACTGCGGCGCGTTCTTGACGCCGCGCCAGCGCGACGCGAGCGTCGGTGATACGCGCGAGTAGTTCGCGATGTACTTCTTCCAGGGCGTCGAGCTGACCAAAACTCAATTGCTCGATGTCGACGCCGAGAACGTGACCGCAGTTCACGCCAGACGCGCACGCCTCCAAATGAATCGCGTCCATTCTCTCCGTCGCTCGAACGACCCAGTCAAGAGCGGACCAGTCCGGCTCGACTTCAGCTGTGAAGATTTCGCGATCCCAATGAGGGATCAATCGCTCAGGTTTCGCGAACTCAGTCATCCGCGGTTGGGCCCGGACTCGCACCGGAGGGACGCCTTCAGACGAGTGCACCGCTTGCGGTACTTGCGACCAAGCGGAAGCCAAGCGCGACTGCACAGGTAGTTGCATCGATGCCTCATCTAAATCACTCTCGGAGGCGTCAACTCGCGCTTGCTCCGAAAACTGCGGCATGATCATGTCGCTATGATCCATGGGCTTCTTTGGCACCACTTCGGAAGCCCACTCGGGCTCATCGTCATCTGCATCGGGCAACGCCGTAGTGTTGACCGAAGAATGCTCGTCTCGTGCTCCCTCGCTATGACCGCCGCGTTCGCGTTGTAAGTTTGCAATAGCTGAAAGCAGCTGAAAGCCGCATCCGCGTGAAAGATCGATCTGGATCTTGCGATCCTCGATATCATAGATGTTCGAGTCAAGAGTCTCCGAGGACACGGACGCCGATCTTTCCTTGAGCACCGACGGGGGACTTTCTTCTATGTTTCGCCAATTCACCGAGGACTGTTCATTCTCCGCTCTCTCCTTCGCGAGCC